TTCTTCTCTAGTCTCTCCACTCGTCCATCTAAGCATTTTCATTTCTGCTATATTTCTCACCTTTCTTTGTTTCTAGCCTATCATACAACTCGTCATACCTCTTAAAATTCGCCTTACTTACCGCACACTCGGTTTCTTTGTACAAGCGTTTCTACTCCGTACAATCTTCTCTCTTTTTACTCTCCTGCCATACTTTAAACTGCTCTTTTTTAATCTCTACGATATTCTGAACATCCTCGTTCCATCACCAGGTTTCCTCATTTCTCGGTAACTCAAACTCTCTTGGAGAGTAAAAGTGATTTTACTCCTACTCTGGCCAACAATATTCTCTGCAGTATTCTTTACTCTACTGGTAAATTTATTCCGCGTGTCATTTATGTCTCCCTCCTCGACATCGCACGCCATTTTCCTTCTTACAGTCTTTAAAAACTCTTTTTCGCCTTTCGATTTCCACCGCCAAATCCTTAATTCTCCCTCTGCGTTCTTTTTGGTTTCGTATACTCTCTTCCAGCTAATGTTGTAACGGAGCTATGGTGTACAGCACCATTACCACGAGTCTGTAATGGTCACACTCTCGCCTAAGGTGACTTTACAATCTCAAACTCACTTTAGGCTCTCTCTGTTGCACAAAAAACGGTCAATCTGTGATCTATTACTCCCGCGCTTATAAGTTACATAATGTTCTTCCCTCTATCCATAACGAGTATTAATCGGAGCAAAATAATGTGATGATACTATGAAATTCATGATTTTTTTTCCGGCCTCGTTGTTCCCACTGAATTATATTCAGGACTCCTCATACTTTTTGACAACATTTTACACCGGCTACGAGGTTATGTCAGGTGACGCAACCTCATTGGTCGCCTCTCGCAACCTACAGACGAGCCGTGCAAGTATTCTCTTATCTCCTATCCGCGGGGATTAATGACGTTCACAGTAATTTCTTGAAAACACAATTTAAAATAAATTTTTGTGCGACAATAACATTTTTCTGAAATTTGCGATTTCTTTCAAATACCACTAAAACGTTTCAAACTTTTTAAAGTGAAATTCTCATCCAAATAAAAAATAATCTCTCGCATCTTTTTCATATCTACTACCACAGTTGCCAAAATTTACATTAAAATATGTATTACTCGTTAAAATAACGTAGGCGGGCCAAAAGAGGCTAGGCGAGTTACCAAGAAAATTTGGGGCTCCGTGTAATTTTTGGGACATACATTTTATGATAGGTACAGTCAATTCTAGGTAACTATACCAATCATGATTGACTTACATACCAATTATGATAAAACGACTAATAACAATATAATATCATCCTTAATCTACAACTCGTCTAATTTATAAAACAGTTTAAATCAATAGGTACGGATTATTTATAAATAGTCATAAATCCTTAAGTTTGGCAGGTGTCCATTTAAGACGATTATCTAACAATTTTCAACCAGACATTAGGTGATAACATTTACACGTTGTTATTTACAACGTTGCACGTTGTGTTATTAATTTTGAGATGTTAGTTTGTTTACTGCATCGAGTTCGTTTGATTTATTAAAACGCAAAAATTACACTGAAAAAAGGCGTTTATTAAAAAACACTTTTAAAAAAAGCCGACTCAAATAAAAACAACTAAAATCGACAGTCTTATTGACACGTCCACCAAATCTTATTTTTTTTTAGTTACATATATTTTATAATTTATCGAGTACTAATTAATTTTTACCATCATCACTTATAACTCATAGGGGTGTAAACTTTTTTTAACGGAAATATTTATGAAATGTCTTAAATGTGGAAACATTTAACTAGCTTATAAGAAATGGTCTAATTAAAGAAAATAACGGTGCGATAACAACTTTTGCACCAGTACTTAGAAATTTATTAACATTTTTGTACGCGGTTGAAGGAGAAATATGGCTGAGAAATGTCTAATAATATGTTCATACTTACACCTCTCCCTTAGTCTATATGTTAAAATCAAATTATAATTTCTGAATTACTGGTCCAATAGTTGTTTTCGACCCATAATTTTCTTAGATCATTCCAAATTGTATAAACTAGTTGAATAGAGGAATGCGATTAATGCTCGGGGCGAGATGATATTCTTAAATAAAAAAAATATTGTAATGTTTTTCAACTTTTTATGGAAATTGTTTTGAAGATACCAACTAAGCGATGACAATTTTTTCAAAAATAATTTATTATTTTAGTATACATTTCTGACTGTTTGAACATTTTGCGTAAAATCAGGTAACTATTCCACGTAGATTATCATCCCCTTCTTTTGACCTACCACACTCCGATCAGTCGTTTCGGCACCTTTGCAGTACGTGTGTGCAGTGTTAATCGAGTCGTTCTCTACTGAGATCAGCTGACTCATTGCCAGTGAGCCGACGAATTTTATTGGTATTTTTCTAAGCTTGTGTAAGCGGAAAACCTGGAGGATTTGGAGTGTCAGCGTGAGAAAAAACTAGAATTTAGTGGTGAATGTATTGAGATGGGGACATTCATGACTGAAGTACCGTATACTGTCGGATCCAGTGAGGCAAAATCCACGTATGCATTGATCAACACTCGGCGGTAGGACAAGAATACCAAGCAGATCGGGCGATATAAACTGCATGTTAATCCTAAGTTAATAAATGCAATTAATCATTGAAATATACATAATTTTGTAATTGATATACTTTTATTTATACTACACACTACCTTCTCCTCGTATCATTCTGCTGCTGCAAAAAGTGTATTATTTTAATTATTGTAGGATACTGAAGGTCATTTTGGAACCTCAGCAGTAATCTCTAATACGAAATAAATATATAAAATTTTTATTTTTTAATTTTTGAAATAGCCATTTTTTTAGATATTTTTTTACACAAAATTTTGAGTACAAGTACTTATAAAGTTATTTTAGAATTCTTGAGTGAATATGAAGCGTGGGCGGAGTATATGTTTTAAATATATTTACGCTGTAAATATTAGAGCAAACAAGATTTCACGACAATATTAACAAAATTTCTAAGCAAAATACTAAAAAGTGCACTTCAGTAAAAGTTGTTATTTATTTTTTAAAAGTCCAATTACAAAATAATATTCTAATGAAATGTTGAATATATAAACGGATAACATAACGCCATTACTTTTTTAAGTCGCATTATGCACAATAACGTCTTTACAGAATATTTTTATCGCAGATTATCGGACGCGGTACTGCAGCCGACTCTATTTTTTACAACTATACATACGCGGTTGTCTACGATGTGTTATGATAATGTGTCAAAACGTTACGTACACGAGACAAGGGAGAAAAATATAATATGTTTCGCGTCATGTTCCTCGTTCGGCTTTGATATTTCCGGTTATATAGATAGAGCACATTATTTCTTAAGCACTCGGTGCGCTATACGTATTTCACAGTGTACCTAGCGCCTACGCACGTCAGTTAAGTGACAGACAATCAATCAACAGATTTAGTGAACAATTCTGTAACATCACTGAATAAACAAAGCACAACTTCACTATGATTTAAACAAGAGACTTATTTTAGATAATCCAATTATTATAAAGAATAAATTAAACCTACACCATACACACACACATATATATATATATATATGATAAAAAATCACTCTGTAAATACGGTTTCAAAAAAAAAAGTTTAAATAAAATTTTCACTTTTTTTTTCAAATGACTAATTTACATCGCATAACATATTTTGATTCAGATAGCATAGTTTTGAGGTAAATACTCTTCAGATAATTTGTAATATATATATATATGTATATTTTTTTAGTTTTTTTTCGATAAAATGTGTATTTTAAAATAAATAACTAGGTAAAAGGTTCCAAATAATTGGAACCTTTCAAAATTGGTTCTAATACACAAAATAAAAAATCGATATCCTGGCCGAAACTTCAATTTTGTTTTTTTAAAGAATCGAAACCTTATTAACCGGTTATAAAATATCTTTTAAATATTTTAGTGAAAATTAGATCAAACCCTACCATAATAATTTACCAGTAGTAATTTACACTCCTACATAAATCAAATATTCAAATTTCAATTATCCCAACTTAGGTCCCCTGAAAGTTTTATTTATTACATCTACGTTCTATTTTTAAAATTATATGCCTTAAAGATATGAGATGGATAACTGGTGCAAAAAATCGAGTGTTCACGAATGAACAATTATCAAATTGATAATAAACGATAAAAAATCATTATTTTCACATGTGTGCATGAAGTACTCAAGATTGTGTAATATTTAAGTGGATAAGTAGGAACGGCTACTTTTTAAGTAACAACTATTTTATCTATAAATAAATTGCGATGGCAATTAAAACATAAACAAAATGGTAAAAATGAGTACATAAAGTATTTCCAATTCCTTTTTTGCTATATTTAAATATAAAACAAAATTTTTTATTTTTCTTAAAAAGTTTTTGAAAGCCGACTCATCTAGTTATCTAGACCAAATTATGCTATATGTTACCAGGAAATATCTTAAATACTCCCTGAATGTAGTAATTAATATACAAAATAAACAAAAAAAAGACGATCAATTCTTAGTTAAATACATTTTTAAGAAATTAACATTTTATTCGTCCATTTTTAGAATAAGAATGACCAGTATACATTGTACTAATAAAATTTGCATTAAAAATATCATTATTTAAAATGGATTTTTACGTGCATTTTTAACATTTATATACTTGATAAAAATAATAATGGTTTCAATATTTTGACAGTTATTAGGTTGATAAATTTTATTTAACACAAAAAACAAAAACTTTTAATTAACTAATCATTCATGATAATATTAAAAATTAAACACATTTATTAATTAAAACTGTACAAGTTAACAGAAATACCCAGTTAAATAACTTCTTAATACTTTACGAATAATATTTGTACACTATAAACACTGACTATACATCAGTATATCATGGACATATTATAAGACTATGTAAATTTATGAATAATTAATACTTCTCAATATATTTGTTGAAAATCAATTAAATAAAACTATTTATTTAATAATCATGATTAGTCATAAATCTAAAAAAAAATTGATTATCAATCACCAAAATTAGAAAACATTATTATAAAACAAATTTCATTAATAAGAATAATAACAAAATTAATGATCTCACAACAAAAATAAGTAATAACTCAATTCAATTTTTATTTCTTGGAATCTTGAAGCCTGAAAATAATAAAATCAAATCAGTATTCAAAACATACAATGCACTATTTATTACAATTTTATTTAGTTAAAATAAATAGATATGTAAAAACAATGTTTTATTTAAGTATTTGAATTTAATTAAAATACAGCTAAAATAGGCCCTTTAGTAAAGCTTGTCATCTATAGAAACATCAATCAAATAATAAAATTAAGAATAAAATATATTATTCCAAGTTTAATTTTACATTATCTTATTGTACAAAAATAACTCAGCATTAATAAAACTTTTCTTCAATTTTTATTTAATTTTTTATTACAATAATTGAGCAACAAGATAAAAATCAAGTATTTTTTACAATTTTATTTAATTTTTTAATCATTATTTGTTTAAAAACAAAAATTCAAGAAAAATTACTTAACAGCGCCCATTTTATCACTATAACTTTAATATTAAATAAAATAATTATTCTTAGATTACCCATACAAATGTTGAAAATATTTTCTTCTTTTTTAAAACAATAGTTTTTATATAAAGTCTACACAATTTTTTTATATTATTTGTAATTATTAAAACAGCAAAATAAAAGTTCTTAACTTTATAACAATGTAGTGTAATAACTTTACTCTCAAATATAAAAATAACACCTTAAGAAAGTGGAAAAATGTTTTTTTAGTTTAAGTGTGTTGATTTTTATTTTAAAAAATGTTGAGTATATTAGGTTTAAAATTTTTTTATTTCATTAAGCTTTTGATTAATAATTTACTACCTCAATATTATATATATTTAAGTATATAATCGCTCTATCTATTAACTTATCTCTGTTAGTATATAATCTGAAAGTTAATAATATCTTAGAAAACAGAATCAGATTTTATTAAAAATATTTAAAAATACTTGCACTCCAAAATGATGGATCAACTTTCAAAAAACCAATAAATAAGTTATAATATGATTAAACTTTTCCTCGTATTGTCCGCTGCATTTATGCCTCACAATTTATGTCAATCAAATGAAAAAACACAGATATACTTTTCTTAAATGATAATATATTGATATTATATTAATATCATAATCCAAATTATTATCAAAAAAATAAAAAACGCGACTATAGAAGGTTTTAGCATGACTGATGATTCTATACGCATGTCAAAAGAAAACTGGCAGTCTTAGAAAGAAAATTCTTACGGCGCATTTTTGGTTCTAAAAAAAATGATCGAATAGGTGATTATGAAATAAGATCCATTAAGGAAATTAAAGACTTGCAGAGAGAAGAGAACATAGTACAGACTCTCATAGAAACAAAAATGAGCTGGCTTGGACACGTATGGTGATCGAATAAAATAATAAAGGATGCGCTTAACTAAAACCAGAAGGTAAAAGACCACTGGTAGGACAAAGAAAAAGTCGATAGATGAACCCAACCAGAATTTTTAGATACTTGTGATATAACCTGGAAGAATTGGCAAATGACAGAGAGGAATAAAGATGGCTGTGTGGAGCAGTGACGAGCCAAAATGGCCTATAAAAACTGATGAAGAAGAAGAGTATCTTAAAGCAATTCATTCAATGGACCAAATTAAATCACTGGTACGATAAAATCTAATACTAGAAATTAAGTTAGATTTGTAATTAATAATTAATTAACCCACCATTTCATAATAAATCTAGTACAATTATCGTACTCTGCATAAAAAATTTAATTTTTAAAATTTCTTTCTTAACAAATAAGTGTTTTCCGTTGAATAAAATGAAAATTATTAAGTAAAAATTAAAAAAATCTGTTATAACGTATTTTTAATACTTTTAAAAATTACTGTTTGTTACTAATGTAATAATTATGTTAGCTATTCATTAAGAAAATGACATTGAAGTTACTATTTTTGAATTTCTTATACAATTTTCTTTATGGGAGTTTTACTTTCATGATTCTAAGTTTAATAATAAAAGTTATGAAACATGGATCTGTTATTTCTATTAAAATTGTAGCATATGTTTTTTGTGTAAAAATCCCATATGTAGTAAGTTTAGTAATTAAGGAAACAGGTTTCTATTGCTCTTATCGTTTATAACAATCAAATTGTTCCTTAATTTTTAAACACCCCTTTATATAAATATATATATACATTAACATTTTTATTAGTAAAATAATTTAGTTAGTTTAATATAAAGTTACTGGAGGTATTTTGAATTATAACAAGTATACAGAGTATAATTAGTTTCAATTCTATAATTAAAATATACCCTATAAAATTATGCTTTTATACACTCTTGTACATTTAAAAATATATAAATAATTACCCTCTATTCAGAATAATTAATATGCAATTATTTTTGCCAACTCTACCATCTCTTTTAAAATATAGAAATCTAATAAAAAAAAAAAGATGTAGATATCGTTGATATGAAATTTGCAAACATCTCATGAAACGTATAGTCTATGATGTTTTTACAAAAACGCTACTGAATGTTATAATCATAATTTATTACTCACCGTTTATACAAAACCATGTTCAGAATTGTATTGGGATACAACTTGCTGCAGAATTGAGCACATGGAGCTTTATACTTATCATGATAAGAAACATTCAACAAACCAACAACCGGTAATTCAGATTCACCGACTATCTGATAGAATAATTCTATTGTTTTGTCAGTCACACAATTGGGCGAGAACAATTGTAAAACTATTTTCATTGCCTAAAAATTAGTTTTTATACATTTATCCAAAAATTTAAATCTAAAAAAAATAAAACATACTTGATATGGTAATCTTGCAATAAGTGGTTCAATTTTGTTAACTTCTACTAAATCTTTACTATTTACAATTTTACTTTTTCCATAATCAATAAAAAATACTTTAACCTAAAAAAATAACAATAAAATTAAACATTGTGAAAGTTAAATTTGATGCTAATTTAATAAAAAATAATTATTTGATAAATCTGACAATTTTATGAAAAATAAATAAAAATTGTTTTTTATAAGTTCTAAATATAACAATAATATTTAGTATCTAAACAAAATTTCCACTTTTTTCTTACTCGACTTTCATCAACTAAATGCAACACTTTCACTCGTCCTTTAATTTTGTCAGTCAAATTAGTTAAATAAACATTTTTATAGTTTACATCCCTTATATTTCTTAGACATGGTGATGAAAATTCATCTTCCGAAAATAACTTTTCAAATAATGGTAACAAAACACTATCTTTAAGTTGAATGTACCAATAACCATCCACAATTGACATAACTTTAGCTTCAATTACATTTTCTTCAGTCTATAAAATAAAATCATTCATTTTAAATAAGAATATCAATTAGTAATGATAAATAAGAGAACTCGAGCGTTTTGATTTTATTATTCATCAGTATATAAGATTAAAACTCATAAATCTAATTTAATAAAAAATATATATATTTCATAAATTTATAATTATTACATTATAACCTTTATAATAATTTAGTTATATTATAAATAATTATATATTGTTTTATATGTAAATTTTACCATTATGTTTTGGAAAACTTACTGATGAATTCAACCTTGGCGTACAAATTTCTATAAATTTATTAATAACAACATCATATATGTTAGCCAGAGTTTCAGCATCAAAGATATTTATTGTAGATGGGGTTGATGTAACATTATTAGGAGAAACAATGAACTTTTTGTCAACCAGAGTTTGAACTAGTAAATCTTTGAAAATTTGAAATTCACTGATTGATTTAAATTTTCCTAATGAAAATTCAATAGCCTAGTTGTAATAAAAAAAATTAATACAGTAGTTTAACTAAAATATTACCTAAATAGTTTTACCAAAATAGATATTTTTTGTTGATGTTTGTATAATTAAATATACAAAAAAATCTATTTAACTAAATATTAAAAAGTAAAAAAAATTATTTTATAGTAATTGTCTTTATATAAGTTAAATATGGTATAAAACAAACTATTTGCTTCAAATATATTCAAAGATATAACTTCATTTTTAATTTGTTTAAATTTAATAACAATAAATTAATTGTTTGTTCTAATATATAAGTTTATTCTTACCTGAGCTTCGATTTTATAATATTCTGCATCTAAATGATAAATCTGATCCTTAAGTACACATTTAGATTTTCCTGTGTCTATAAAAAATACTTCTACTTTGCCATTTATAAGAAAGTTTTTAACAATTATTCTATGCCATTCTATTGAATCATAAAAAGCATAGTATCTATTTTCTTTTATATCATTTATTACTTTTTTTGAATAATTATTTGACATAAATATATTTAAATTCCTTTGCATTGTTAGATACTTTTCCTGTAAATAAATATTTTGAAAATAACAGACTGTTTCATATCTTCAATTTTCTTTTTCAAATTACGGTTTAGCATTTCAAGCACATATTCATATATACCCTTCATAAAATTTTTCAAAATTATTTTACAGATTTGAGATTAAATTTGACAGAAATATATGAGAAGTGAAATTTTTTTTAGAACTCTTCCTCCCAAAATAAAATCTTCGCTGAATCACTGGAGCATCAAAACTTGTCTAACAAGTATGATGAAAAACTATAGCCTTTAACCATTTTAATATAAAACTATTTCTCATATTCTTTTTGTTATACGGATATAACTTTTTAAAAAATCAGAAACAATAAAACAACAACTACATTCATCAAAACCTAGTTTGATTTACATTATTAGAAAAATCCAGATCTGGAATAGTTAATACAAAACTTAGTAAGGTATTTCAAATAAAACAAAACTTACCTTAAAGCAGACATCATCTAATACTATCCAGATACTGCAATAACTATAAACAGCTTTAATTGTTCCCTTTTCTTTATTCTGAAGAGTTTGTTGAGCAATGATAGAATCGAAATATTCATTTTTATCTTCAGACTTACAAATTCCTTTTGATTCATTATTTTCAGTAGATTCCTTCAACAAAATTTGAATTTGTATATATAAATTAAACAAATTTATACATGATGATTGAATAACTATACCTCACGCAAAATCTTTAAAAATCTAAAACATATTATAATTGTTTTTTTTCTGAAGTTAATAGTTTCTCTTGTCCAATATAATTTTCAAAAAAAAATTGTTCTCTTTCCCTTTAAAAGTAGTGTCAACGTAAGTTTTTTAAATCAAAACATTCATATTTAATTAACATAAAAATAAGAAAACAACTGGTAGATCACAACTTTTGAAACTATCATTTTAAAGATATTAGCACTTTTATACTAAGGCGGGAGCAGTTAAATGTGTCTGTTTATTTTTATCTCTGTGCTTATATAAACACACTACTTTTCTCGCACTAGCAAAAATGTGCTAATATCTTTTATAACACTAGTTCAAAATAAATTATTGACTGCTTATTTCCTTAGTTTGATTATTTTCTTATTTTTAGGTTTATTAAACATATGTTTCCTTTAAAAAAACTTAATTTAATACTTCTTTAAAAGGGAGAGAAAGGAGAGAGAACCAATTTTTATTTTTTAAATTATAGACCATAGAATACTGTTAACTTTTGAAAAGAAAAATTTTTAATATGTTTTATATTTTTTAATTTTTTTACGAGGCACAGTTAATTAATCAAGCTTGTACATATAAATTTTATAAGTTAACAAATAAAATTAATATTTTATAAAATAAAAGTATACATACAGGCTTTTTAAATAACCTGCTTCTATCAATTATTACAGGTTTAGACATTTTTGATTCATCATCAAATTTCAGTTTAGTGCATGGTGCAGTTGTATTACAATGGCACTAAAAAAAATGCAAAATTATCTTAATTAAAAAGTTGAACTAATAATTCATGAAATTACTAAAAATACAAAGCAAAAAACTAATTCAAACAACATACACACATACAGCAAAGCCAAAACATTTCATAACAAAAAAATTAAAAAACAGCCTTATAATTATAGTTATTTTTCTGAATCAGAATGAACTATGAATTTTGTCATTAGGAATAAGTTAATATACACAAGATTTTAATATGTATATATATATATATATTTTTTTTTTAGTAAATTAAACAATTAATTGTATTGAAAAAATAAAATAAGATTGTATGATTATTGTAATACCTTACATTTACAGACGTGAACATTGTTTAAGATAAATATACCTAGATGTAATATTATGGATAACTGAAGTAACTAAAACTGGTAAGTAGATTAAAATAAATAAAATATTTATAAAAAAAAATGTTATAATGATTTTGCTACCTCGGAGATAATACATTTAAATTACATATAATAACCCAACCCAACTCTCGTTGCATGAATTAAAAATTTGTAATCTACAACATTTGTAATAGTGGGCTTTTATTTTACATAAAAATTATAGCAATTTTTGTAAGCCTGATGCGTCAGTACAATTTCATGCAGTGAAAGACTAAAACAATATTATTTTCCTAAAAATTTCAATTTTTTAAATTCTAGTTAGTTAATTAAATTTTTTTTTTGTCAGAAAAATAAGATTAACAAATTTTGGGATATGCTCATAAAAAATCTCTCTTCTAGTTTGCAACAAAGCAAAACACAATTAAAATATTGAAAAACATTATCAATTTTGCAAAAAAACTTTTAAATTGTAAAATTTTTCTAATTAGAAACAATAGATTTTTTATTTATCTATTAATTAAATTATTTCAAGAATGTTGTATCTTAATAATTACTTTCAAAATACAGTTAGTAAAACAAGCGAAGTTACTAATCAAAGCAATATAATTTGCAAATTATCTAAATCGAAAATCAGATTAATTTTGTTAGTCTTGATATTCAAAATTTATTATTAAATATCACACTTCTCAATGAAAGAATTTAATATTTAAAACAAATCTTTTAATTTAAATTTAATTTACCTGCATCATTAGTTCAAGTTTTGCTATTTTATCAACAAAACTTTTTGTAGTGTTCAAAAGCTTGAGTAATGGCGTAGTCGAATAGCCATTATTAATGCATATATCATTATCTTTTAAAATTGGGTCATCTAAATCACTATTTTTCTAAAATAAAATAACTATTTTATAAAATATGGCCGACCCTAAGTAGTTGGGATTAAGGCGAGGAAGAGGAAGATTTTATAAAATATCAAATTAAAAAAATGGGAAACTTTATTTTAAAAATTTTTAAGAAAAAAAACCTGTATAGTCGAAAACCATAGTGGGATTTAGCGTAATAGATTCTAGGGTATTCATAAAAATTTAAAGTGATTAACATTACAATTATAACATTTTTATGAAAAAATACTTTCATTAAAATTTCCCTAAAGAAAGAATTGAAAAAACTATTAACATTCGAAAGTTATTTACATTTTCATACCTAGCACGAGAGGAGAGGTGCAGACATTTTTCGTCCAATAATAAAATGTATTATTTAATAATTTCATACTCGCATCTTACCTCCAGTTTATTAAGTTTTTAAGATGGTAATAACTTCTGAAATAATGGTTCAAAAAGTTGTTATCGATCAGTCATTTCCTTAATTAGATCATTTTTGAATTATAAAAGTTGAATATGTATGAAAAAATCACTTAAAAAATAAAGTTAAACCCTTATAAGCTATAAAGGATAAATTAAAAAATTAATTAATAACCGATAAATCAAGAAATATATGAATCTAAAAATTACCGAAAATAATTTTCTTAACATAATTATCGTTTAAAGAAAAATCGAGTGGCCAGAATTAAAAGAATCACCTTGTATATGCATTCATACAAAATAAAGTAGTTTTTACAGTGATTTTTCTTTATATCTAAATAACAATTGACACAAATAGTATATTGAACTTGGACGAGCCTCATTTTTAAAAACCAAAAAATATTTTTTTCATTGCATTAGATATAAGGTAGGTGTTGGTAGAGATAATAAGGCAATTCCTTATTATCTACACCAACTTACTGTACTGAATTCAAAATTTGTTACATCATTATTGCATTTGGTATTACCCTAATTAGGATTTATCTCGAACATTATTAATATGTTCATAGACATGTCAATTTTTATGTATATATCATTTTAGTTAATTACTACTATTGCGTTTACTGAATATGGACGTGTTACATATTGTGAATGCAAAAATAACTTCAAAAAATAAATTCTTAAAAATCGTTCAATCAAATGTTTTTCCTAAATCTTTATAACTCATATTTTGAAAAAATTCATTCTCTTTGAACACGTATCTAGAATTTTATTTCAGGAAATCAACATTTTTTTGTAAACGATGAAAACTAGAACTTTACAGCAAAGACAGCATATTTATGGTGATTGTTGGAGGGAATAACCTTTTTACCGTGAATTCAAACAACTAGTTTTTTATATTGAAAATAGTACTATGCAAAGGGTGACGAATTAAATAAAACTTTCAAACTAAATTAAATATACGCCTGCTTAATAGTGAAATATTAAAGTATAAATATTATTAACATAGATCAAGAATCTATTGTATTTAAATGATGATTTTACTGTTCTTAAAGTACTAAGATCATAATATCAAAAATTTAGTTTGAATCATAATTAAATCATTCAGAAAACTGATAGACATAGATTTAAATTAGAATTATTTTAATAGAATAAAAATTAAATTGGAGAATAAATTTTATTTCTTCTCCTAATAACTTTCTGATTAGTTAAAAAAGTTAATAATTGACTTTATTTTTGCAATAGCAATATGATGGTCAAAATTTTCACTTTATAAAACTTAATACATTTTAAATATTATTGATAGATTAAGTTCAAAAGCATGTGTGATAATACCTAGTTAAATAATAAAATATTTTATGAACTAGAATGAAAAAGAATAAATAATAATTAAATTAAATCAATGACAAATTAATTAACGATAAATATATAACTTTGAACTGTTAGTTAACTTTTTTTAACTTAATTTCTAAATATTATATATTAATAAATACCTCACTATTCTCCAAGGAACTAATTTGTTTTTTTACAAATTTTTCTAATCTACTTTGTGCAGACTGCGGTTTCAAAACAAAATTGTTAGATAAAGATGATGCCTAAAAATTACAAAATATTAAAAATTAGTTTTATTAAAGAAAAATTTTTTTTTTAATAAAATAAAATTTGTTTAAATTATTTTTATTTTATGCGGTTAAAAAAATTTCTCTGAAATATCGTAGAACAACATTATAGGACGCTAATTGATAAATGGGAGGAAACTATTTAACTTTTCCCTTCTACGGTATGTGTATAAGGAAAAAACTGGTGTAATTCAACTAAACTTGACTGATTTTAAAACAACCCTAACATCAAATAGAAGAGAAGAATATTACTAGAAATATTCTGTTTATGTAAGAAATCAAAAATTTTCCAATAAATAAAAATCTTCAGAGAAATTTTGGTCATTTGAAAATAAAAAAAAAGTTCTTTGAAGGCTGTTCAAAAAGTAATATTAATAATGACCTCAGAGTAAAACTCGTAGAGAAGAGTATTAATTCAAAATACCACAAAGTAGTATTACATTGAAACTAAGTAACAAGTTTCAAGTCAATTAGTGAAGTAAACAAAATAAAATTTTTAAAAATTTACTTTATTTATTAGCTTGCGATTTTATCTATCATTGATAAAATGTTACAATAATGTTTTAGAGAAACAAAAATGTTTGCATCATGCAACTTTTAACTGTTCCTTAAATTCATTTACTGCTAATGAGACAAAAATGTATAATTGAAAATCGACTAGTTACAAGGTCATCTGAGCTATGCAGGCAAACTACAATGAGAAATGGGAAGATAGTTAGGTTTCTGTGTTCAAGAAGTGGTAGGAAAAATAAGAGAAGTAGTAATTAAGGGGCATTAGTTTAAGAAAAAGCATATAGATTTGAAAGATGAAACAGATTTTTTTTCTACAAATGCATATATTATTACTTTTTTAACAGCCAATATATACACTATAATATTAAGTTAACATACTTTTGTAGGAGTGACAGACACATTTTTCACAGCTTCAATGGCCTATTTAAAAATAATAATTATTAGTTGAAAAAAAAATGCAATCCAGTATACCCAATATTATAAATATACACTGACTTTAATTCCTGTTTTTTCAAAAAACTTTTGAGGGCTACTTAAATAATTTTTTCCAACTTAAAATATGTATATATATCACGATGAATAAAATTATGTGAATTTCTTAATTCAATATTAAATATTTCAATTATTTTATTTTAATTATAAAACAAATTGTTTTAAATTTGTACTAAATCCAGTAAACTATATAAAATAAAATCGAATGGCAATTTACAAAAGAAAAACAAAAATATACACAGAGTTATAAGTGGAAGTAAAAAAAATAAATACAAAATAAAAGGGCAAATTATAAACAAGCTAAATGAAGGGTATAGAGTAAAAATGATAATAGTCCATCTTATTGATTTTGATTTTAGGGTTTGATTTGATAACTCAGTCTCAGGGATACCAAGTAATGAAATATATTTAATAAAAAATTGTTTGGTACAGAATGCCTTTAGCAAAGATCTAGTAGACCAGTTGTTACAAACATCGTTGATTATATTATATCAAGTAACAGCTGATCTCCAGCGTCTTGCTTCACTCACCCCTTTGCCCACCCAGCACGGCAAATCGATGACCTCCGGGTCAATTGTCATCCGTGTACAGTTCATTGTCGAAAGTCAGTCAATCAATAATTACATGTTATTCTACTCTGTAGCAAGTACCTTCGCTTGAATGGTAAATTGTTGGCCATTGTACGCCATTATTTTTTTATTTGTTTATTGCACCCTTGTGCTCAAAGTTTTCGTGCCCTTGCACGCCATTAGTGATGGGACCTAACCATCACTAAATATCTTCATTGCTGTACTCGCATTTTTGTCGTTTGTTCTAATCTGTCATTATGTGCCTGGATCTACACTCTGACTCGTCATACTCAGATGTTCGACACCATTACCATAAGATCTCATACAGTCCACTCATCACTATCAACAACTTCATCTATTCAGCTGAGTTTATATTACTTATAATGTTATTTATTGTTTGTTTTAATTGAGATTAACTATTTTGTTTTATGCCGCTTAGCCTGCCATTAGTATTTAAGTACCCCCCTTACCCCTTAAACTCAAGATACTTTCTGAAGAATTTCTAATATATGAGGTTATTTGTTATTTAATTATTGTCTACTTTCATTACTTATTGGATGTACAGTTAGCCGTCATCCCACAGGTGACCACTTCAATTTAAACAGGCTTAAGGTAAAACGGCATTCTAGTGCGATGCACAACTAGCCGTCCTACAGTCTAGCTGCCTCGTACAAAACAAAAATGAAAATATTTTTCTTATATTTAAGTGTCTATTGTTAAAAATATTGGAAATTTTTAACTTTATTTTTACTCTGCCCAAAAATGTATGGAAATTAACCATTATTCCTCTGTACCCTTCAAATAATTAAACTAGGAGGTAAATATTAATATTTTAATAGTGATCAACAGTGACCATAGCTACAAGTTATTAAGGAGATTGTAGGACACTTTATAAAACCTTAACAATTATACAATTAATTAATTAATTATAAAGCCTTAACAAATGAAAGAGTAGAAGTTAAGACAAACCCAAGGTCATTGATTAAGAATATATATTATAAAGTAAAACCATAGAACCTCTTACAAGAGAGTAAGAGTAAATAGAAACCACAAGAGATTCTACAGTATCACGGGAATGACAACCCTAGTCACAAAATGGATGTGGAAACATAAATCTTCCTTAATCAATCACCCTGTATATCAATATGCGCAATGAATAAGTCAGTAAATCACGTTTTCTTACTTTTTAGGAGATCAAAAATAAAAATTATTCTCTAGTTACACACTCTGATATGTTTAAATTTGTTATGTATGTTTGTTATATAGTATGTTTAAGTAATTTAATTCTGATTCAATTCAAAATTTTGATGGAAGTTATAATACAAACAGTAGAACCTAAATTCAAATACCTCATAATCTTTAAGTTGAATTTTTCCAATTACTGCACTATTTGTTGTGCATGGCAATATATTTTTTTAAAGGTTTTTATTTCAACTCTTTGGTCTTCTTATTTACTCATTAAACTACACCCATATCTATATAAATAACAGAAACACTAAGAGAGTGAAGTAAAAATTGGGAAAAAAATAGGGTTATCTTTTTTTATTTTAAATATTAATGTAAAACTGAAAAACACAAAAAATATTTAACTCAAAAGTTACTAAAAAATGGCATATATACATATTTTGAGAACAATGTAAATAATTGCTAAACACATACTGTATATGTTTAGCGCTGATGATGATAACATTGTTCTTAAAATACCATTATGCCATTTTTTAATCATTTTTTGTAGCTTTTTGAATTAAATATTTTTGAGCTTTTAAATAATATTATTCACAAGCGATCTATTCTTATTATAGTACTGTTTTACTACTTTGAGTAAATTAATTTTTTTACAACTATCTAACATTATGTCTCTTTTAAGAAATATCCTGATATACAAAATACAAAAATACATACATAGTATATAAGTGTTAAAAAAAATTATTTAAAATTTAAAAGAAATTATATACATATAGAGACTTACAACATTGGGTTTCACGTCAAATGAACTCTGAGAGATTGTTACAATGGATTTGGAAACTTCAGTTTTACAATTTGTAATAGGAGTTTTGGCACTTTTGTTGTTATATTGAGTAGAAGCTGAATTAGTAACAGGTTTCTTATTGTAAGAATTATTTGATGATGTTTTAGCAAAACTGTTATAAGATTGAGTCTTAGTATTAACGCTATAAGATGATGCGCCACGATTATTATAAGTAGTCGCTTTAGCATAGTTATTATATGATGATGTTTTGCTATGGTTATTATATGATGGTATTTTGGAATAGTTGTTGTAGGATGCTTTATGAGTATTACTACTGTATGGTAATTTTTTGGAATGAAACATTTGCTGAAAGTTTTTTTATAAATTAATACAAAAGAAATATGTTTACTGAACATTATTTATAACAGTTACCACGGATTGACTAGATTTGTAATAGTTGATTTTATTCATGGCGTTTGAGCCATAATATGATGATTGCTTCTTACGTTTAGACTATAAATAAAAATCTGTATTTACTAATTAAAAGTACTGATTTACACATTTACATACTTTCTTCTTTACACTTTTTTGGCGTTGAATCATTTTTTCTAAATGTTGTGTCTTGTCACTACTCATGCAATGAACTATAATACTCGGACCGCGTTTTTCCAAATTAAATGTTCCAAGAGATTTGATGAAATCAATAATATTTTTGAAACCTAATTTATTGTAAGGCAAAGGTTCCCCAACAATATTTAAATAATCCTCTGAAAAGATAGAAACTAATGAGCAGTTGAAAAATAATTATTATTGGTATGAATAAATAAGAATGAACTAGATCTCTAATATAAATATGGAAAATTGCATAGATTGAAATATTGTACGCGTGCACAATTATTTATAAGTTGAATTTTACTAATATTAAGTAGAATAATATTTGAAAAAAAGAGATAAATTATTTTTAATGATATATTAAAAATATTATTTGATTAATTAAAAAATAATAATTATTTGGAGAAAAATTAAAGGTATATAAATTGAGATCCATCTCAGTATAAAATTAAACTTACTTTCAACCATGGAAATATCAACACCTCCTTTGTTAGAGGTAATTGTTGCCTTCAGGTTTGTTTTAATCTCATCAATATCATACGAGTTAGCCATCCTTCTAAAAATATCTCAATATGAAAGTTGTAACTTTAAAAAATTATAAATAACTGTAGGAAAAACTAAAATATTACTTATAATTTTTAACAAATTTATATGGCAGAGTAAAACCAATAGCTTCTCAGTTATGTATCAAAGTTAATAGTTAGATATTAACCACATAATTAAAACAAAATAAAAGATAAATTTAATTTCTCACAACATTTAAATACATAATCAATTTATGATTCAATCGTTTTAAACGTAATTTAAAGTGAATCCACTATTAATGGTAATTTGTTAATAATTAGACGATAAGGGAACAAGGCCTGCAATTTACTTAATATCGAGTTTTACCTTCTTCTATGAAAAAACGATAGTCGCTCTAACGTCAATCTTTATAATCACCAGTCTTAAATAAAATATAAAAATAAAGCAAAAAATAGAATCGTTTCAACAGTATTTTAAAGCAAAAAAAAAAAAAAAATGAATAAACCGTACATACTTGGACGAGTCTTTTCAAATGAATTAATTTTTACGACAAGGATTGGCTATAATTAAACATCAAAGTAGCAATTAATGGTACAAAAAATTTAATAATACGTAAAAACGAACAAACATGGATAATACATTAGGCACATTTAAAAAGTGTACAACTTTAACAAAATTTAGAGAAAACAACGACCGTGTAAGAATTAAGGAGTATGATGAATTCGATTGTATTACCACGCATTCAATAAAAAAATAATATTCAGTGATCGACCGTTTAATGTTTTATTTTTTAATGAAGCAGGCCGACAACTCAACGCAATTAATTAATGTACGAAAGGTAAAAGTTGTTAGCGTTACCACTGTAGTAATCTCAATTTTGACTTTCACGGCTCTGTTTATATTTGAAATTTATTCTTTATATTATAAAAAATAAACTTCATTCTCTATGTCTAATTCACGATAAAATTAAAGGAATATACGCCAAGTACGATACAGCAACTTTGGCCATATGATTAAAATGAAAACTTTATGGTAAAATAATTGATCGAAATGTCGTAATTCAAACTTTAATACTTAATACGCTTTACAATAAGATTAGGGGTAAATTTGATACCAGTCATCTCTTAGTCACAATCACAATACTATACTATTATCAACCATAATAATCTCTCTCTATATACTATTTCGTCTTCTATAATATAAAATACAGTATCGACAATTTGTACACTTGCCTTATATCAAAACATAAGAAATTTTTAATAGTAAACTATAATATCTTTTACTGAATAACGTTTTAATATCAATTTCTTACAGATTTATAAAATTAAAAATTTTACTTTTTTCAATTCAACATCATAACAGCGTAAAATTTCAGGGCATATTTTTGGGGAACGGCAAAATATGGCTCAAAAGACCTTGTTTTTTAGCTTCGATGCGAAGCTGAGAAGGTATTGGTTTTACTAAGATGTGTTTTTTTTGTGTCTGTTACCACTTTTTCTCAGCTCTCACCGAACCGATTTCTTTCAATCATACGTCAAAAGATCACAAATCGTATCTAGTCGAAGACATTACCCTTAAAAATTGAAAAAATTTCCCTCGTTCCCCGTAAAAGGGGGAAACCTCCAAACAAATTACAAATTTAAAAATCGCTAATTTTCGAAATTTTTTCAATTTTTTTTACTTTAAAGTGCCATAACATTTTCAAAAATGAACATATCAATATAAATCTTTTTTATATAGATGCATAATATCATTACCTTTCATTTGGTATATTTTTTTCATAAATTAAACCCTTAACTTGCCCACAAGGGGGGATTTAAAATGACAACTTTTTCACAAAAAATTAATTTTTTTAACTTAAATTTTGAAAATGTTCCGGAAGGTCTGACACTTTTATATATATCTTAAATTAAAGCTAATGTAATATGCTTTATCATGAAAAAAAAAAATTTCGGACTTTATCTTATCTTCATGGTGAAAATGGCTACCGAATGCTATTTTTGTGTGAAAATTTTCGATTTTGTATTTTCCATTTTTAACTTTATTATGCTATAACTTTTTGAAAAATGTATGAATCATTACAATTTTTTTATGAGAAGTAGTATTTATATAGATCTTTCATTCGACATACTGTTTTTTTAAATCGGACCATTTCCCTAAATACAGGGGGGATTCAAAACATAAAAATGCATATAGAAAGTAGAACTTTTTCAACGTAACTTTTGAAAGTGTTCCGGAAGGTCTGACACTTTTATATATATCTTAAATTAAAGCTAATGTAATATACTTTATAATGGTAAAAAAAAATTTCGGACTTTATTTTATCTTCATGGTGAAAACAGACATTAAACTTAATAAAAAAAATACGATTTTTGTAAAAAAATTCTTTTTTATATTTTTAACTTTATAATGCTATAACTTCTCGAAAGATGTATGGATCAATATAATTCTTTTTTTTGTAGATGCATGATGTCTTTACCTATCATTTGGTATATTTTTTTTATAAATCTGACTTTTGACCTGCCTACAGGGGGGGATTCAAAATGACAACTTTTTCACAAAAAATTGACTTTTTCAACTTAAATTTTGAAAGTGTTCCGGAAAGTCTGACACTTTTATATATATATTAAATTAAAGCTAATGTAATTTACTTTATTATGCGAAAAAAAAATTTCGAACTTTATTTTATCTTCACGGTGAAAATGGCTACCGAATGCTATTATTGTGTGAAAATTCTCGATTTTATTTTTTAAATTTTTAACTTTATAATGCTATGACATATTGAAAAGTGTATGGATCAACATTATTTTTTTATGAGAAATAATATTTTTTAATAATCCCTTTTTCATTCTACATACTTTATCTTAATTAGGATATTAATAATGAACTAGCAGATAATGTAGCTTTTGGAATAGTCCACCAATTTTTTAAAATTAAACACTATCTAAAGATTTGCATCGAAGCGTTTTTTTTTTATAGTGATTTTAATCACTGTCAGATATCATTATAATTGATCCAACTATGCCACGTCACCACTGTGCCGCGACCCCCCTGTGCTGGGTTTTTTTTGTCATTAATTTGCTTTTTAGCAAAAAAAATCAGTCGTCCCTCCTAAAATGAGTTCTAAAAACACCACTGTTAAATTTGGGGTATTAAACAGAACTCTATGGATACTACGATTCAAAGTATCCCCCTTATTTTCGCCTATTTTTTTGGCTTAAACAAATCTATGTCGTCTGCAACTTTCACTTACGCGCGTAACTCCATCCTCGCGTCATTAATTCGTCTAGGTATTTGTTCGTCTACCATATCTACTATATAACAGTATATACTGTTATATATGAACAGTCAAAAATATATTCAGAAATGAGTATACTCGTGTTTAGTTCGAATTTTACAGAGCATCCGTCAGAATCTCGTGTATTTAGTATTCGTGTAAAATTGTAATTTTGTTTTATTTTAAAAGAAAATCAGTCAAAACCCCGATCTAGTCGTTTGATTAATTAATTTATTAAACACTAATTTAATACTTATTCGGAAACATAACGGTAAGCCACAACAGCATACGATTATTTTACGTCTCATTCCTACTCTGTAGTTCCGCCATCTGGGTGAAAGGAACAGTAGTCGTCGCAAAATTTTGGAACATGGCGGACGCGATCAAAACGTCGAATACACAATCTAGTGATTAAAAATCGGTTCGTCAATCAGTGACGCGATCTAGTTATTGTAAAAAGCAAATCTAGTTAATGCGTTTGGCTAGAGAGCGTGGTACGCATCGGGGGAAATCACAATCAGTAGGTAAAGCGGCTGTTTTCACCACTAACAATCGGCTTTAAATGGCCTGTAACCTTAATCGCGTACTGTGAAATTGAAAATCGACTGATGAATATCGTATTTAAAAATTATCGAGGTTAATCACGGCATCAGATAATCAATCAAATCGTTAATCGATAATCGAAATGTTTAATCTGTAACTCCAAACCATAAAACAAGAAATTATACTAAAAGAGGTAACGCTATGCATCATATAATAACGTATAAACAACTAGATACTCGTGAGTCTGAACGCATTCTTGATTTTTCTAATTTTATCGTCTTACAATGAACAATTTAAATTTCTTCTCGGTTTATCCGGTTACTATTATCGTTTCTATTACCGAATTACGGACAAATAACTAAACCTTTCACGTCTTTTTTTTTTAAACAAGACGTTCTGTTAGGTCCAATTTTCGTCGACGTTCTTTCGAAAAGTTAAAAAGTATTCATACTTCAAAACCTCCGTTGCAATATCCGGACTTCGTCAAAACGTTTAATCTAACATGCGACGCTAGTGGTTATGACATCGTAATATCCCAGAGGTACATCAGGAAAATGTAACCAATAGCATATCTCCTTGCAGTTAATTTTGTTAATACTGATATTTTATAATATATAATCGAAAACATATTGTCTACGTCTAACGTAAAATAAGTATCAGGAAATGTTTTTTCTACTTGAGCGCTAGAGCCACGCCTTCAAAAAATTATAAGGCCAAAACAGTAGTACAACATTTTGTGGAAAAGTTCTATTTTTTACATGAAATACTGGAAAGTTTGGTCATGGTTTGTGAACCAAATTTTTCAGCCAAATGTTCACAGAAGTATGTCTACTAAAAATAAAAAAATCCACTATGTCACCATATCACCCATAAATTACCAGAAGTTTGGAAGGAAGTCACAAACTCAAGGTAAATACCTACGAAATTTCATTGGAAAAGACCCTCTCTGGTGGAACTCTCAAATACCATATGCAATATTCATATACAACGCATCTATATATAGCTAAACCAGGTTATAAGCGTACAAGTTAGTTTATTGTCAAAAAATAAGCTTACCCATTTATTTTACGAAAGAATCAAAATCTTAATATAATTTCTACATCTATCAATACGAACGTAAATGACATATGCAAGATTTCATGCAATAGTTAGAGAAAATATTTTAAAACCAAAAGAAGTCATAAGAAATTCTATGACTAAAAGTTTCATGCTAGAATATCAAATTAGAAGTTTAAGTATGTATGAAATCTTCCGGAAATCAAAGTAAACTCAGTTCTTTATGACACGGGATATTTAAAATCCTAGAAATATTAGTTAATAACGTAAAAATATAGTTTTAAAAGCGTGTCTTTTTAGTTTTTTTAACTATATTTTTCACTTTTTAGTTTTTTATGACATCGCTGTCATAGTCACGGAGTGTTTATTGTCAATTACAAGGCTGTATTTGGGGGGGGGGTCAAC